CTAGAAAGGGAGTGGACAAGTAAACATCCTGATTGAAAGCCTTTGCTCTAATTACCTGATTTGAAATACACTAGAATTTTCAATAAGTTTGATAGATATTTGTTTTCGTGTTCCCTGGTCGGTGTCTATATGTCTGTGGTACATTGTGATAATCAGTGTAAACATCATAGACTTAGATAACATGGGGTGGAAGAAGATGTGTCGATGTGAAAACAGAAGGTCAAGGACAAAGTTCTAGACTTATAATGATGTCAAATGGGCTTGGGTTTCTGTATCATAGAGGTTACTGATTTCTTTTTGGCTCATGCCAAACACAGAACAATAAAACCTACTGAGTATCTCATTAAGTGCTTTTTGAAACAAAGAGGCATTTGCCATTTTAGAGTTTACAAAGCACTTTTTACATTTTGTCCTCCCAATAACCATGAGCCATCAATAGTACACATCTATTTTACATAACGGAAACTTCAAGTTCAGAAAAGCCAGGAAATTTACCTGAGATGACTTGATTAGCAAGTGTCAGAGTAACTTGAATTTAGTTCTTAATTTCTAAGGCCCATATTCTACCATGCATGGTTGTGATATTTTCCTCAAGTGAAAAAGAATCAAATTATTTTTATTTAGATTTTCTCTGTACTTTTTTATTATATTCTACCCAACTATCCAAAATCATCACCAATTTTTGGAGGCTAAAAGAATTTGGGTCCAATTCTCTAAGCCATTATTATTAGAAAAGCAATCACTTTCACCTGTGTGTTATTATTTCTTTAATTAGTTTTCCATTAGAGCTATTTGACGCAAGGTATCTAACATCCATCCATTTTATTTCTGTTGCAATTTATGTCATTCAAATTTACCTAGATATTCTTTTGTGCTCATTGTTCCTCCCAACTGCCTCTGATTTTTAGTGTAGGTAGCTAGGAGAACACGAGGATAGCACAACTCCATGGGTTTGCTATAGATCTAGAGTCTAATGAGGATCCGGAGCAAAAAGGAATAGATGAAGCAACACAGTTTCGGAATTTTTTATTTCTCATGGCTCGATTCTTATTTGCCATGTCTGGAACTCACTTTGTCTTAGGCTTCATGACCTGATGCTGATTTCTGATGCAGTCTAATCCACACTTTAAATAAACTATTTGAGTTCTCATTTTGGTAAATGTCAAGGGAAGAAAAGATATTTCATGCACCTACAGCGTCGAAAAACCTCTTGCCAAATCCATGAATCTGACTCTGCATTATCCTTCCCCAGAAGGAGAGCATAATTTCATTATCCATGAATCATCACCTCTTAGACTGTAACATCATTGTCAGAGAGCCTAATAGAACCAGTGTTCAGCTGGCTGAAAAGGGGGAGGGAGGGAGGGGAGAAAGCACTGGGGCAAAGCACAGGTCACTGGCACAATCAGCAAACTGGAGAGTTCTAAAGCCAGAAGGGGAGGCCCCCTTCTCTTGACACCTTTGACATACTACTGCCCAGTAAATAACTGATGCTGACTCTTTTGATTTAATATTAAAATTTATTTTTCCTACCTAAATTACATGTTAATATCTTGCTGATGAAAAATATTAACCCACTTAATAAAAATATCAAAATGTTTAGCCAGCATCAATGAGTAGAAGCACTTTAAGGTATTTCTTATCTATTCTTATTGCATTATTACTCGCTTTGCATCTTTGGACGCTTATTTCTAGCCCTCAGTACCAGTTCTATCGCCTCTGTTCCAGCATTATTAAAGTCAACATGAAAAGTATAACGTTCAAAAATTGCATTATAATTATGTTTCCCAGGGAAACAAACTAAATAAAATTCAAATCTGATATACTAGTCAAAAAAATATATGTTGTAAACCACATTTACATAAGGATTCAGGATAAAAAGCTAAAACGTGTGTGAATAGCTGTGATTAGTCTAACCAGCCACTGGAGGTCACTGCTGCTCCATAGATAGACAATTTATTGCCTGTCTGCTTAGGTAGTTCACTCACCAAATCAAGTAAAAAAATGGTTTAAATTCTTTGAAAAGATGTAATGTCAACATCCTTGGAAAATACCAACTCATTTAAATGGAATATATCTTACATAAGTATTGCTTACAAGATTGTGGCTCTGGGATTATTCATGTTGTGGTAGTACTATGTGTACTAGGGTTAATAAAAATGGAAAAAACCCACATGCAGTTTCTAGACTAAATTCCATTTCTTCTCTGTTTTGGTAAAACAAAGTATTCTGTGTTCTCTTGTATAGTTCAACAGGTCAGGCTGGGTTTTTTTTTTTTTAAACTGTTGTCACCTTTGAGGAGAGTCCAATATTTTATGTAAATATGCACTAGAAAAATGAATATCGATCACATTTATCTAATATGCATGAGCTTGAAATACAAATAGATTTATGGTATGTAGGCCAGAAAGTTCCATGGGATGGAAGTGAGGCAACAACTTTTGAGCAGGAGACCGTTTGCCAGTTGGCTTTTTAAAATTGACAGTGGTAAACTAGTTACTGTGTAATCTATAAGAATTATATATCTATGCTCAGAAGATACTGAGAACTAGAGAAGCTTCATTTTCAAAGAGTAAGGAGGAAGAAAGAACTTTTTCCGCATAATTTCCTGTCCCAAATCAAAATGAGTTTTACCACCTGAGGGATTTTATTTTGGTAGTTATCTATTACTATGTTAATAAGTAAAGTTAGTCATTAAAAAGTGACCAGCTTTCAAAATATTGGTCATTCATTTAGTCTTATATCATATTTTATATGTCAAGTAGCTTTGAATTTTAGAAATACTTTTCAATATAGTAAGCATATTTTATATATACTACCAGTACCACAGCATTGAGAATTTGCAATAATTTAAAAATATAAATATACCGTGCCTAAATATATTTGGTATTCATCACAGGTAAGGCAGAAGCTTCAAAGAATAGAAATGGTCTTTTTCACTTTAAGACTGCATTTCATTAATACAAACATCTTTAGTACAGATAAAAATGAGGCTAGCCAAGAAAATTTCTTTTTAAGATGGAATATGTATTTACTGATACTTTATGAAAAAATGTAAAATTACAACTTCAGTAAAAAACATCACAGTAAGCTCAGTCACTCAGTAAGCTGTAAGGAATTATCTGCATTATTAATTGAAAATATGTGACTTTTTGTCATTAATAAATGTATATTCAACAGTTATTCATGGGTAAACGTTGTAGCTATGATGTTTTTCTGAAGTGGCATCTATTGTAAGATTTAATCAATATCAAAGTACCTTGAGAAATCTACTTTAAATGTTTCTTTTTCTTTATTGCTTATAGAAGTGTGATTTTAGTAATCTGGCATCCTTAAAATTTTATTTCATGGTGACTTGCCTAGATTTTTCCTCTCAGCATATGAAAAACCTCCAAACAAACAAACAAAAAAATTAGTAAAAATAGTCATTCACTTATTCTTCTTTGCTGCAGTGATTCTGTTTTGAGAGAACAGGGACATGGTTAAAGACGTAGGCAAGCCAAATTAAATGAAACAGCCTCAATGTTGCAATTCCTGGTATTTGCTTCTATAATAGAACTGTTCATTTTGGAGGATGAAAGAGAATACAAACTAAAAATATCTTTCTAAAACCTTAATGGACTGTGGTTCAAGTTACTCAAATACAGAGGCTATGATATTCGTGCTGCAGTCAATAAACTTTCACCAATGACATAAAAACATGCATGCAGCTTGCAGATTGCCAACAGGGTCTGTACAGAATTGTACTGATGGATGAGTTCACAATACAGATGAACACAGGGACACTGTAATGTCAGCAATAGAAAAGCAACAGGGAATTGTCATAGTGTTGGTTTTTTTTCCTCTAAGATTTATTTTATACATTTATTAAGGTGTTATGAAAGTCATCCTTTTCAATGAGGCTGTGGGTAGAGAGCATGTCTTGGAATGAGTTTTCTTTACACACCTGAATGAAGTGTCTGTCATTAGGGGATTGGTGTGTGCAGGACATGTAATGGAACACAACAGGGCAGCCTGACAAATCCTGAACAGAACAGGACAGGGCTCATGATTCTGCTAACTACATTAGGGTCTATGAAGAAACTGGAAAGAGAAATTCTGGTAAGCTCTCAACCACATGCCTGTAGCAAGCTGCTTTCCCATTCATAAACCTTATCTGAAAACTCCCTAACTAATGTGAGGAGTGGTGGAGAAATCTGGCTTCTAAATGTTATTTCATTTATTTATTTATGAAACACACAGGCTAGAAGAAATTGACAGTGAAACCTCAAGTCTGATTTTACAGGGATGGGTTTCAGGGACAAAGCTTGGAGTCGAAAACTTTATATTTTTATCATCTCACACTCTGCAGTTGTCTACTTGCAGTATTTTAACCCTTCATCACTTTGTCCCTGTGCTTGCCTTACTGTAATTCAGACACCCCTGGAAACTGCTCACGGTGCTGCTTTAACGTAGCACCATCTTTTGATAGTTTCTTGCAGTTTTCTTTTTTAAGTCAGGCATTGGTGTAAAGGCTCTGCCTGTCTTTAAAATGTTCGCATAACTGAGTCATCTCCAAGATTCAGCTCAAGCTCTGAGCACCTGGGATCATTCACCTCTTTCTTTGATTTGCCAGTGAGCTGCAAAGCTCCTATAACTGTAGATTTGGTCCCACCAGGAATGGAACAGCAGATGTGGGGGATTACTTATGAAAGAAGTTTTATCTTAAAACAAATGCGACATTAATGGAATCAATAAAGAGTCTTATACAATAGGCATTATATTAAACCAGAGTTAAAGCTTCACATTGATTGTGGTATTTAAATTTCAATGGGTTGATTATGTATGAGAGGAAAATGACCAGTATTATGAATGCACTAAAACGGACAGAGAAGGACCTTGCCAGCAAAGTGAGAGGGAAGGGGAGGGGGCATTGTGTTCCCTTTATAGTCACCAGAGTTCAATAAAGCACCACTTATTTCCCAGCGTTTAAGAGCGCTTTTTATCACAATGGTTCATACCTCACACTCCCTGGAGCCTGATTTGCTATAGGTGCAGGGTCCCGTCCCATTCAGCAGCATCTCGCTGGTCTCCGTGTTGGTGGGTTTGTAATCTACGTAAAATTCCTGGGTGCTGGGAGTCATTTGCTTTAGGGACTGTCTTTTCTTTTTCCTGTGCCTTCGCATGAGGGAGCGCTGCTGCAGCTGCTTCATGCTCGCAGGGTACCGCTTCCATGACACGTAGATAACCAGCAGGATGACAAGCACGGACAGGAAAAGCGCCACGCTCCCCGCGATGATTTTATGGAAAGAGATGTGCTCGGCGTCAGCATCGGTCTCTGGGCCGGGCTCTGTGGCTCCCACCGTCGGGGGCACAGGGGGTTTGCTCTCATGCTTCGGCCTGGGGAGCTTAGGCTTAAACGTTGGCTTTGGGAGAGCCCTGGCCAGATCAAACCTCTCTGTAGTACTTTTGCCACAGATGCTGTAGTTCTTCACTGCGTCGATCACATTTACTCCTTGCAGCTCTTTGGGACTGGCACAGATGATTGTATTCTCCCTTAGACCTTTAAAACTTTTCAGCCAGTTTACAAGGGAGCAAATATTTCGGCTGCATTCCCATATATTCCCAGCAAGACTGATGTCATTGAGGGATATCCAAGAATCCAAAATCTCTTGACCAATAAATGTGAGCTTGTTGGAATCCAGGTTGAGGCGCTGCAGATTCGGGACACATTGGAAAACACTGGGTCCACTGAAAGCTTCGATCTCATTGCCTGATAAATCAAGCCTTTGTAATGAGCTCCAGGTCCAGGACATGGTCTGTCCTATGACACTGATTTTATTCCACTGCAAGTAAAGGTTCTGAAGGCTCACCAACCTTGGAAAAAGGGCCAGGTTGAGCTTGGAAAATTGATTGTGCTCCAGGTGAAGTTCTTTGAGTCTGATCATGCCGGCAAAGACATTCCTGGCTAAACTTCGGATCCGGTTATATCCCAGGTCCAAAAGTTCCAGGTTGCGGCAGTCTTGGAATATTCGCACAGGGATGTTTCTCAGGGAGTTAGACCGTAAATGTAAACTCAGCAGCTTCCGCAAGCCCCGAAACTGTTCAGATCCCAGAGAATGCAGCTGATTATAGGACAGATCCAAGTTCCGTAAATTTGTCACCGGTCTGAAGGTATTGTTAAGAAAATAGGAGATTCTATTGGAACTAAGAATCAGCTCTTTGAGTCTGCGTATTCCATTAAAAGCATTTTCGTCAATATTGCTGATATGGTTATGGTCAAGGTATAGCCAGGTGAGCTGGTTGAGCCCTTTAAATTGATTATACTTAAGTTTTTGAAGGCTGTTATAGCGAAGGGACAAACCTAAGCAACCAGCAGATATACTTGAGGGTATCTCCTGTAATTTCTGAGATTCACAATATACCATTTTGCCTTCACACCTACAGCCCTTAGGGCATCCTCGTTCGGCAGAAGAAAGCATTGTCAGTAAGACAGTGGGGGCTATAACCAGTACTACAGCTGATCCGCTCAGTAGCCTAATTACATTGAAACCTGGAAATAAAAACAACTTAGAAAAGTTATCCCCCCAAAAAAGAATTAATCTTTAATCAAGCAAAAATAGGCATGTATTTTTCATTTTTTTAAATTTAAATCTAGATAACGTTTAACATCACAAATAATCTCTTTGTAATTAAAGAGAACTGTCTTTAGTGCTTTTTTTTTTTTAATAGTTAAACAAGGAAATGTGTCCACTAAGCAAATAAATTCATAGTCTTAGAGCAGAGCAAGGTAATCTCTAAAATAATTAAGGCAGAATTATTACACAGACTAGAGGTTTTTTGTTTTTTGTTTTTAAGAAGGAAAGAAGAAAAATGACAAAACATACCCATCCTTTGTATTGTTCAAAGGTCGTCCTTAGGTCTTTTGCTTTGGCTTAGGGGCCACTTGCATGACAGCCCCTGTCAGCTGCACTGTAGTGAGTCAGGGCTTGCTGACACCCAGGAAGAAAAATTGGACCCCTTGGGAGATGGACCGATTTTGGAACATTATTCTTTGCCAGCCACGCAGAACACTCCAAGAACAAATAAATCCCAACACCGCATTCACAGCAAAACATCAAAATCTTCCTAGGTAATAGGATCTTCATGGATATTACGTTTTTGCATCTTTACAGTTTTTTGGGGGTGGCGGGGGGCGGTTAAAAAAAAAAAAACTGGCTCCTACAGTTTCTTCTTATCGAAAAGCATGATATGTTCCTCCAGGCAATGTGGGGCTACCTGAGCTGCCACATCTGTATTCCATCGCCCAGCAGTTCCCGTGGTGAGCACCCAGTTCAGCCACAGAGCTGCGTTGGAGCCCAGAAGGCAGGAGAGCCCCGTACCGCGCACACGCTCAGCTCACTTCTGCAGACTGTCATTCTGAAAGCTGCTCGGACTGTTGCTTTGGCTTCAGTGAATGCAGTCTTATGTAAAGCTGCCCCCAGTGGTGAAGAACATTATGGGCATGTGCAGAAATGTCTCTCTTTTATCTTGCAAATGAGCAGGCTCTCTGCTGGAAAATGAATGATTCTTTTGGGTGGCTCAGTAGGAAGTGAATGGTCACCGTAATCAATAACTAGCAACATTTTCTGTGATTTCCAAGTCTTGTTTTACAATTTGGCAACGTCTTTATTGTCTGAGTCCACTTAATTGCTAAACAGGTGCTGCCCAGAGTTTTTCTGGAGCTTGACATTAAGTTCATAGACCGAACGTCAATTTTTCTTAACCTCAAGGTAGGCTTTAAACGGAAATTTATAAAATGAATTATTGAGCTTTTCACAGAGAAGCATTAACTGCCTGCCCATTTGACCTCTTGGAGTCACAGTGATTATATTATGCAAGGTGTCAGGATGCTAGAACACAAACATTTTGGAATAGAGGGGATGACTGATGAGAAATGAATTAATGTGTCCAGTAGTACCTCCAGTGTTCTCACAGAAGATATAATTGGTTTTATGGCTGTGGTTTGGTTTCTTGTTTTGGTTGTTGTAATTTTCTTTTAATTAGAAGGGAAATAAACCATTTTTAGTGTTAGTATACGAATCAAGATCATTTGGTTCATAGTTTATTGATGTTACTGCTATTTATTACACTAATAATATTTATGGAGTGCTTTAAATGGGATACCTTTTTTTTTTATCTTTAAACAATAGTATGATGTAGGTCCTATTATAACCTCTATTTTAAAGATGAGGAAACAGACTTGGAGAGGTAACTTTCTTAAGGTCATAAAGCAAGTGACTGGCAGGGCAGAGCTGAGCATCAGAAGCAAGTCACTCTTTTGCTGGACTGCTAACCACTAGACAATCCTATTCAATAGCATTGTTACCTTCATTTTAAAAATAAATCAGTGAAAATGAGGCCACTTAAAGGATTGGGGCAGGGAAGCTGTAATCAACAAATTCTTGCTTGTTCTATTAGAATTGTCTAAACTTCTTTTGGTCTGAGGCTCCTAAAGAAACATAAAAACTAAGACAGGGCAGTTTAGTGATTAAGAGCATAGATTTTTGGCACCTAGATTGCAACCTCTGGTTGCAATCTACCAGCTATGTTACCTTAAGTGGCTTACTTACCTTCTCTATGCATCAGTTTTCTCATCTGTAAAATGGACATAAAAACAAAAACTCACTTCGTGTTTTGAGAATTAAGTCATTTTAATATCTGCATGTTACTTAGAACAGTGTGTTTTACACATTCAAATAATATTAACTTTGTACTTGCTAGAATTACATACTGAATATTGACTATACTGTCATTAACTCATGAAAAACAACTTTAGTGAGCATTTTTCAATACTGTACATGGTGGATTCACTCAGTCTTGCCTTCTTTGAAGAGACAATTTCCTCTATGTTCATCATCTGAATTTTATCTTTGAAGCAAATCTTGTGGTCCTATGGACCATAACTGGTAATTAATGTTTGGTTCTTTTCATCCCCAAAGCAGAACATAGTAACATCTGCCGTGTAGAGGCATTTTATTTAAAAATAATGGTATTCTTGAACAAGTTTGCCTTGTTATTTTTTGTTAGGTGAATTGGCTGTGGAAAACGGTGGAGAGCTTTCACATTCTCCAAGGATGAGATTTTTGGTAGAGGTTAGTAATGACAATCAAAAGAGGTCCTACAGATGAAATTATATGGATATTACCAATTCCTTGGGCAGTATGCTCTTCATAGGGCAGTGTTTTCCCCCGGAATTATCTAATCTGTGAATGCATATGAAACCCACAGTGAGTTTCTTAAAAAGATAGACTTCCCAATCCCTTTCCCAGGATTCTCATCCTGGTGGGGGATGGAATAGTGTGTGCTTTTCAATAGCCTCTGATGAAATAAGGCTAAGAAACTCACTGTGAAGAAATGATTAAAAATAATGTTTTCTCCTAGTAGGAAGAGAGAATATGCAGACTTATAATACTGAGATGTAAGTTCCATGAGGACAGTGGTAATGTTTTATCTACTTCCTTTTTTCCAATATCTACAATAGCACTTGGTACACTGCAGATATGCAATAAATATTTATTGGAAAAATATATTTTTATGGGAGTCACAAATACAATGGGTACGGTATAACTGATTATATAATGTTGGAGATTTGTACATGGGATTGAGTCCTGCAAATTTCCTCAGTTAGTGAGACTGGAAACAGTTTTGGAGAAAGTATTTTTAAAGGATGTATATACAAAGACAAAAACTAGAAAGTGAGAACACTTAGTTGATCAGCAAGTGATCTTTACTTTTCATGGAGATATCTCTTATCTTCACGGTTAAACTACAAATTTCATGAGAACAGTAAATATACTTTTGACTATTCCCCTTTGCTCAATACAGAAGGATAATACTGAACCTTTATCATTTAAGATCCCAAATGGGCTTGACAATGTGTATCTCTCAAAAACAGGAATTATATTTATAACTACTCTCTCAGACCTCCATTGCTTGAAAGGCTGTGATATTTCTCCTCACTCTCCCTGGGTCTTGGTGGATAATCACTGAGACATCTGTTTTGCCCAAGAGCTAGGAGGGTGAAGAACCCATCAATTTGTGCTTCTTGCTCATGATGCTTCACTTCCCAGTGACAGAACAGAGGAACCCGCTGAGAATGTGGGCTCTCACTTTGCTTTTCCTGGGAAAAGTCTTGGATTATTTATGGTGAATATTATTCTCTGCCATGTTACACATGTTGCTCTTAGTTTTCAGAGACTTTTATGTTATCTTGGTTCTGATCTTATCTTACTGCATAGTTCTGACTTTACACCTATCCTTTGGAACTTATAATTGAAATGTACCCTTAATGCTAACAATTAAGGGTTCAAAATATTAAAGTGAATGAATAAGACCTAGTATTGGCTAGCACAACAGGGTAGACTATAGTCAATAATGAATTAATTGTATATTTAAAAATAACTAAAAGCCTAACTGGATTGTTTGTTTCACAAAGAATAAATGCTTGAGGCATGTATACCTCATTTATCCTGACTTAATTATTACACATTGCATGCCTATATCAAAACATCTCATGTACCCCACAAATATATGCACCTACTATGTACCCACAAGAAAAAACTACATGATAGGAATGATGTGCTGCAATAAAAATGCTTTGATAGCAATATATTGATTGACAAGGAAAAATGTTCATAATAAAACGATATTAAGGAAAAAATGCTGACCATCAATCTCTTTCTCAACGTAATCAGTAGCCACTCTGGCATTGGATCAGCCTCCAGGACTGTGGATGGCCCCCACCTTGGCACTGGCCCTTAAGGTAGCATCACAACCAGGTCTGATCTGGTTCAGGATAATAAATTGTTTGAAGAGGGAAGATTACCCATAAATCTAGCTGAGAAATTCAAAACAAAATAATGTAATTCTAAGCCATGCTGGATACTTGAGACTGCAGAAATTACTGCAAATACATAGAGCAGTTCCTGAAAAAGCAAAGCAAAGGTTGTATTCTAAAAGATTTTAGTAATTTGCCTGTATACTTTTCAAAAGTTTTTTTCTCCTTTTACTTGTCGGCTATAGTGAGCTGATTATTTCTGATTTGCCTTTCAGCAGAAGCCAAATTATACTGCATTATGTATTTAGCAACTAGCAACATCTTTTGCACTTAATATTACATACAGAACAAACCATAAACTACCTGACAAGTTAAATATCCCCAATGTATCTAAGGCCTTAATGATTTATGCAATTATAAAAATAGTGTCATATATCTAAAGACTTTTTATTTTATTGTGCTTATAGTACTTCAGACAGCTAAACATATTTTGTTTAAATTGGGTTAATAAATCAAACCTCAGTTTGGCAATACTGCCAAATTTCAGTCCTCCAATATGAAACTGAATTGCCAGATATAAACTTGGAAATTCATAACTGAAAGAGGATGTACTGATATCTTAACAGTTGTTGACTTCAGATATTTTATTTATCTTAAAAATACATAATTTGAATACCCATTATGTGCCAGACTCTGTTCCAGACACTGGGAATACATTAGCGTGCAAAATAAAGACCTATGCCCTTGTGAGGATTACATTCTAAAGTGGTAAGACAGAGAATTAAAAATATACACAGTATATTAGTAGATCATACATACTATGAAAAAAAGAAAAGTATAAGGAAGATTGGGAGTGCAAGGTATGAGATGGGTTGCAGTTGCAAATTGGATGGTTAGGGCCATTAAGAGACTGGCCTGAGCAAACATTGAAGGAGATGAGCTTGTTAGACTTAAACAGACATGTGGGGAGTGGCCAGTGCAAAGGCCTAACGTGGAAGCAGATCATATGTTCCATTAACAGCAAGGAGGCCAATGAGTCTAGAGTGGAGAGAACAAGTGATTGAATAACTGGAGAGGGAGGTCGTGGAAGGCCTTTGGATGACATTGTAAGAATACTGGCTTTATTATGGAGAGAATGGGGAGCTAACTGGAGATTTTTGTGCAGAGTTAATATATGATCAATTTACCTATTAAAAGGATCATTGCTATGGATTGAATGTTTTCATTTACCCTCCCCCAAATTCATATATTGAAGCCCCAATTCCCAATGTGCTGGTATTTGGGGATAGAGCCTTTATGAGATAATTAGGTCATGGTATTGGATCCCTCATGACAGATCAGTGGGATTATAAGGATAAGAAGAGACAGACGTGAGAGAGTTTGCTTGTTCTCTCTCTGCTATTAGAGAAGGCAGCTATTAGGAAGCCAGAAATCAGGCTCTCTTTACATCAGGCCTTCTGGTACCTTCATTTTGGACTCCTTAGCCATTAGAACTGTGAGAAATAAATGTTTACTGCTTAAACCAGCTGGTATATAGTATTTTTGTTACAGCAGCACAAACTGACTGAGATGATCACTCTTAGTAGGGGACGCCGTAGGAGGCTACCATATCAATCCAGGAGATAGATGATGGTGCTTGGGCCAGGATGTTAGTGATGGAAGTGGTGAGCATTGGT